AGAGAGAGAGACTCCCTCGTCGATGTCGTCCCTCTCTTTTCCGTCTGCGTGAATAATAAATTCAAATGCAAATATGCCTTGATCATTGCCATTAATGGGCAAACTCGTAAATAATACATTCTACATCAACAGACAGTTCTGCGGCAGCAGCAGCAGCTGAAGAACGGCAATGACATTTGCCTGTGGTGGCCAGTGGTGGTGGTGGCGCATTGGCTGTTGCGTCCACCAACGAAGACGTCGCCGTCTTTGACTGCAGGGTCAACAATACCGCTGCCGCCATCAGTGACGCACATAGCACATAGCACACTCACACACTCACTGGATTGCCATCGATCGAGTTGATTGAATCGAAGGCAATCGAATGAGGAGATGATGATGAAGTGAGGAGGAGAGGGAGGGAGGGAGTTGGGGGAAGAGAGCCGGGGAAATATGGCGAGAGATGGCCAACTTCACTGACCACTCAGCAACACTTGCCAGCAGGAGCACAGTGCCGCGCGCGCACCGAGAGAGTGTGATAAGTGTTAATAAACATTCAGCGACATTGCTAATTAAACATCGGGCAGTTCTCTCTCTCGGGCACTGTGCGCCATCAAATTGATTGGTTCGCCTGGCACTATTGAAATTGCACTGGGGCAAGCAGGCACCATCATCATCATCATCATCATCACCACCGCCGCCGCCATCACCGCCAATGCAGGCGAGCAAACAGGCGAGCTTAATTTGTACACTGTGCGTTGGAGCTTTATGGCTGCCTGAGACTAACTTCAGGCGCGCAGATCTATTTGGCGAGCACATTAACTGTGAGCAAACACAGAGACAGAGAAGGAAGGGAAAAGAAGAAAGAAAGAAAGCACAGACACCGCCGAGTACTGCTGCCATTATGACGTGCTAAGTGGACACTGAAGACGGAGCAAAGAACAAGGCTGCAGAGAAAAGGGGAACCGAAGGCCCTTCTCTTTCTCTCTCTCTCCCTTACTCACTCACTCAACAGCCAATTCAACAACGCGCCCTGTGAATATTACATATAAACACATCTTCGATGCAAAACGGCACTACCACTACAAACTGCTGCTGCTCACTCGCTCATCTTTATTAAAATTAATCGCACACCCATAAGATAAATAGTGGAAGGAAATATTCTATTTGCTTACTACTCTCTTTGGCTGACTTCATCCCCCACACCCTGGCACAAAAGGAATAATAAAAAACTGCCCTCCAAATACCCGGGCGGAAATGCAGCCCTGATAATACAAACAAACTGCAAATTGTCCTTTGGTGACATTTCTGACGACGGTGCGATTCGTGAGATTTCTACTTTTCTCCCGCACTCACACTCACTTGAACTGCCAAGATTTCACATCTTTTAACACCACCAACATAAGAAGAAGAAGTCTGTAGTAGACATACCTGTTTAAACTGCTCCTCATAGGTGTAGCCCTTTCCCGGCTCGATACTCTGCAGGTGCGACGCCGAAGGTGATGATGAGGTGGCGAGCACGGCGGAAGAGGCGGAACCACCCGAGGAAGAGGAACCACCGGCTGAGTTGCCAGAGGGTGAGGAGTTGGAGTTGTGGTTGCCGTTGTTGTTGTTATTTGAAGCGGCCGCCGCTGCCCCGAGCAGTGCCGAATTGAACTGGCACATCGCCGACGGGTTCAGTCCACTGAGGCCGCCCACCGCCGCCAGGTTGGCCGCAAAGTGGGCCGCGTGGTGGTTTCCGGTGAGACCGGCGGCAGCAGCCGCTGCAGCCATTTGCGCCGCGTGCCTCTGCATAATGTTAAAGGCCAGCTCGTTCTGTGACGCCTTCAGCTGCTCTTCATCGTCCTCCTCCTCATCGCCCTCTTCCTCTTCCTCCTCCTCGTCCATGTCCCCACTGGTGGGATGTCCGCCGACGACCCCTCTGCCTAGGCCCCTTTCCCTGTCGACCACCTGTTGCAGGTGCTGGTGCTGCTGGTCTTCAAACTGCTGCTGTGCCTTCAGTCGGTTTATTGCTTGCTCCAGGTTCAGCGGGTTGAAGGCTGTCATGGCGCCCACAGCGCTGCTCCCGTTGCTGTTGTTGTTTCCATTGCTGGCACCATTGGTTGCGCCGCCGCCATTGCGAGGGCCGCCGATGCCCACCTCGTCCTCTGAGTTGTAGCCGTCCTCCACTGATCCGCCGTCTCCACCGCCGCCACCGCCGCGATCGTGCAACAGTTGATCCTCGTCGTCCTCATGATTGCTCTACAAAGCAGGCATAGAAAAGAAGAGGAAGATTATTATTAATTATGCAACAGAAGGAAATAAAAAATAAATTGCACGCAATGGGCGAAGAAAGGAGAAAGAGAGCTAATGTACACACTAAAGGGGACAGGGCAGAACAGATGCTGGTGAAAACACAATAAATAATTCCCATGTAATGAGCAGAAACGATTAATTACTGCAGCAGCCATTGACATCGAGCGCACTAGATGCGACTTGTGATGCCACTCAGGGCAGGCACAGCAAACCCAAAAGCAGCTTGCTGGTGGTGGTGGTAGTGGTAACCAGCGGAGATAAATAGCCATGCTGAGTGTGCAGTCAGCCTAGTGCTGTTGCTGCTGCTGGTAATTCGAAACACAAAGACTAAATTACTCAAATCGAGCATCAGCAGCAACAGTCGTCATCTTCAGAACCAAGAAGACTTCGATTCAATTTGTGCACACTGTCTGAGCAGCCGCCAAATATGAGTATTGCTGCAGCAAAACGCACACTCACACAAATCGTGCAAATATGCAGCGAACAATTAATTTTACGCCAGCAACTGTCTGCGACTGCGGCTGCTATTGCTAGAGCTAGAGCTCTCTTCTTTATGTACTTTTTATATTAAGAAATCATAGACAAGCTTATTAATTATGGATTTGATTCACACGCCAAATGCAAACAAACATTTTGCCTGTATCTGTTGCTGCTGCTGCCCGTCCAAGTATAATGACATCGGGTGGCCGGTGCTGCTGATGTTGATGCTCGCCGGGCGATAAGCGAAATCACGCAAAGTGCAGTGTAATGACAGCAGAATGGCCAGGCTAGGCGAGCCTCAAGTGAGGCAGAGAGATAGTGAGCTTCAGCTACTAGTTAGGGCGCCCAAGAGTGATACTGTCTACCTCCTCGCGCAGTGACTCCATTTATTACCGACACAAGAGGGGCTATTTTTATTCAAATAAAAACTGCAACAACTGCTGTTTCTGCTGCTGCTGTTGCTGTCAGCTCAATGAAAATACGGCAAATAGAGTTAGCACATTCAGTGGTGATCACCAGCAGCAGCAGCTCCACCAGCACCATCATCATAATCATCATTATCATGAACATCATCTTCTTCCGAAGTGGCCACTGCTGCAGAGAGTGCTCACAATTGAAGTTGCACCCGACTGCTGTTTGATTGCTGCTGCTGGGCGAACACAGCCATCGCCAATGGTCGGCCCTTGCACCAGAAGCATTAATCACCAAAGGATCAGACAGGGCGCACAGTGAGCCAGCTCCCAACGGGCAGCTTTGCTGCCAATTGACACCAAGCACACACACAACTGGGCGAATTATTAATTCGGTGGCACAATTGAGAAGAGAAGGGATGAGAAGATGAGAGCACATTGGATGAATGATCAATCAACGACGAGTCTGGCCTAACGATGGACACTGACCACTCAACCAGCGGTGACCATTAGCCAGATACCACAGCCAGCAGAGCACTTTATCAAACATTCATAAATGCAAACGTACACAATGTTTCGACACAGTGTCCGATTGCTAAAGAAAAAAGAGAGAGGGACTGCAACAGCAGAAGCAGACGCAACAGTTTAGCACTGCAAATTTTCCATGGTTTATACACTGCCTGTGTCCAAAGGAAATGCAAATGTTGTTTATACACAGCAAAGGTGTGACATATGCCTACGAGAAAAGGTTTTATATCAAAAGCCTACACTTGTAAAGAGGTACATGTACAGTACTTTCATGTTCACAAAAAGGCCATTTTCTTTTGATCATCATCATCATCATCACAACCACCAAGTCGGGGTTCTTTATATGCCAATAAATCGTCAGCCCTCACATTTTTCAAAAGATGTATTCTTAAGGGTGATGTTTGCACACGCCGCATTCAACGATCACCACTACCACCACCAACAACCTTGTCAATCAGCAGGCACTCAAACACTGACATAAACACACACCACACAAACACGAAGCAACTGGTTCATCATCGAGCACATAAAATTAATATTATCATAATTAGTCAACAGAAAAAGGCTGTTGCTGACAATTTGATTATGGCACCTTCATTTTTGTCATTATTACTTCTGCTGTGGTCAGAAAGAAGGAAACAACTTGAAGCAAAGGGCGAGCAAGCAAGTGACGGTGAGAAGAGAGGAGGAGGAGGAGAAGGTGGGGGAGGCTGCAGCATAAACACACTGCACAGCAACTTCAACTCGCTAATGGCTCCAGCACTCATAGACTAGCTGTGCACAAGCAGCCCAATCATTGAGTTGTTTGTTTGTTTGCATGCATGCCTGCATTTGCCGCCGTCGCTGACAAATCGACCGAAATCGATCGTCACTGCTTTGTGTGCAAACACACGGCAACACAATGACAGGATGCGCGCCAGCGCGTACTCTCTTGCACCAGCATTCATTTCGACCATTGATTTGCGCCTTGCATTCATTCACCGTCGACGACACCTACTCCCACTCTATGCACACACACAGGCACACAGGGATAGAAAAGTGTGCAGTATTTGGCAGCACTACTATTAATAGACCAATTAGCCAATCAGCCAATCAGGCCACGGAGCAGTGCTCCATCAAGAGAAAGCATACTCAGAGCTGCTGCTGCTGCCCTACTCTGCGCCTCTCATCTAATCAAGGAATCGAGTCATCCTCGAGCTTGGACAGCCAATAGGCGAACACACATTTCCTTCTCACCCAGCAATGGTCTCACTTGTTGCCTCTCTGCTGCACTGTGCTCGGGTGCGGCACAAGAAGGCAACACTGAAACTGAATCGAAAGTCAGCAGCACCCGACATCAATCGATGTCAATTACATTGAAGCTCAATTGCCATGTGCTGTGAGCTCAGAGTGTCTTTTTGAAGCAAAGAGAGCCAGACGACGACAGCAACAACACCAGAAAGCGTGCTAGTGCACGTGTTTTGAGGATGATGCTGTCGCTTCTCTAAACACCACCACAGTCTCTTCCCCACCAAATGGCCGAANGCTGCACTGTGCTCGGGTGCGGCACAAGAAGGCAACACTGAAACTGAATCGAAAGTCAGCAGCACCCGACATCAATCGATGTCAATTACATTGAAGCTCAATTGCCATGTGCTGTGAGCTCAGAGTGTCTTTTTGAAGCAAAGAGAGCCAGACGACGACAGCAACAACACCAGAAAGCGTGCTAGTGCACGTGTTTTGAGGATGATGCTGTCGCTTCTCTAAACACCACCACAGTCTCTTCCCCACCAAATGGCCGAATTAAACGCCTGGTGACAAGATGGTGGTAGATTAAAAGTGGTGAAGAAAAAGACCAGAAAGAGAAGGGAGAGAGAAGTGTCTGTCAAAAGATCTCTCTGAAAGAATGAACTTTTTATTTTTAGCTCGATAGCTAGCTCGTCTTCGTTGCGTGCACACACACACGCAGATGCACTTATCGACTAGCGCTAATTTGACCAAATCAAACAAGGCAGCAGCAGCAGCAAGGCAAGCATATGTGCCCTCTCTCTCCCCTGCAATGTCTGCGAGCCATGTGGCACTGTGCAGACATCCCATGAAAGAACGTAAGGAGATGATCGGTAGTCTCCCTGTCCCTCCTTCCACCCCCACCGACATCTTAATATCATCGAATGGAGAATGAAGAAGATGTGTGCGCGCGCTTGTGTATGTGTGTGCCTTNTGTGCACACACACACGCAGATGCACTTATCGACTAGCGCTAATTTGACCAAATCAAACAAGGCAGCAGCAGCAGCAAGGCAAGCATATGTGCCCTCTCTCTCCCCTGCAATGTCTGCGAGCCATGTGGCACTGTGCAGACATCCCATGAAAGAACGTAAGGAGATGATCGGTAGTCTCCCTGTCCCTCCTTCCACCCCCACCGACATCTTAATATCATCGAATGGAGAATGAAGAAGATGTGTGCGCGCGCTTGTGTATGTGTGTGCCTTCGATCAATCAGCACTAGAACAAGAGCGAGAGGGGCACACACATTTTCCTTCTTCAATCGGCCACTCTTTCTGGATTAAAGCTGAGCTCCCCCTCTTTCCTCTGCTCACTCCACCTCTCAATTTCAATTTGAGTCGCAACAGCAACAACAGCAGAGTGAAGACACATTGCCATCAATCGAGCTGCACTACTGCACTAATGCTCGGCAAAGAAGTGTGCAGCGAAAGCAGATGCACAGAGTTAATTTGCTCTTACTAAAACTAATTACACACACACCATAACGGATAATTACTACCAAATGCGTTCTTTCGCATTAGAATGCTGGTGAGGTTGCTGCTTGAAGCTTTCCAAAGACATTGAACATTTCAATCAGCTTAAGTCAAGTCAGCCAGTCATTTCACCAGCAGCAGCTGGCCTTGAAAGAAGAAAGTTCTCCTTTGGCAAAATTGAAATGTCATCACATGTAAAAGTGGACTGCTTAAAACTGCCTCACCGGAAGTGAGCACATAAAAACAAGATGCACTCTAGCGATGGTGTAGAGGTCGTCAATTTCGATTAGTAGAGCAGTTGTGCAGCAATTGATTGGCAATTGAAGTGCCATCGCACACAAATACAGCACCAGAAGAAGTGGCGCACACAGAGAACGGGAGGCGTAGAGGACTACTCTGGTGAGATGCACTCGTTAGCGACGGAGTGATATGTATAAATAGAGCCCACTTAGCCCGGCAGTAGTGTCCGTGTCAACCCGTGTCACTGCGATTAATTCTCCAGCAGCAGCAGTGAGTGCGTGGAGATCATCTCGCGCTCGTCACGCCAGGAATCGTGGCGTCTGGTCTAATACTGTGGAGTGCTCTGTCTGTGTGTTGCCACTGAAGCAGCAGCAGCAGTGTAAATCATTTAGAGAAACGATATATTTAAAGTGAAAATTGCCACTGAAGGCAGAAGAAGGCAGAAGACTGCTGGTACAGCAGCGAGACCATTACTTATTGCGATTATTACCAGTTGACAACGTGTGTGCCACTACCGCCGCAGCGCTTATCAATTGCAACTGAAACGCTGC